GTAAAGTTAATTTGGCTTCCCCATTGACTTGTCAGAAGGTCGCAAAAGGGGTCACGTGAGCCAGGACACTGCAACCATCATAAATACAAACCGGTTGGCAAGGATCTGAATTTTGATCACATGATCATGGGCAGGGGTGGGCAACTGTGGCCCTTTTACAACCTGTGGACTTAACTTCCAGAATTCCTGAGACAGCCAAGCTGGCTCAGGAGTTCTGGGAGTTGAAGTCCACAGGTTGTAAAAGGGCCACAGTTGCCCACCCCTGATCATGGGGATGCTGCAACAATTGTGTGAAAAAGTCACAAGTCACTTCTTTCAGTGCCGCTGTAACTTTGAACAGTCACTAAATGAACTGTTGTAAGTTGAGGACTACCTGTACAGTTCTTGGCTCACACATACTTAAGAATCACACTTTAAAAAAATAAAATAATACCATCACCGTAAAAGCAATGTAAACTTGGAAACTCTGAAATCAATGTAACTTACTTCTTAATAAACATGTTTGATGCTTGAATGCAGATGGCCAGGTAGGGGATGACAGCATTATTTTCTTATTATATCAATCAGCATGGGACCTTAATATTCTGTAGGGCAAATGATTGCTAGCTACAATACCTTTCTCAGCATTACACTAAAGAAATGGGAAGCCAGGAGGTAGCAATTTGGCTAGCCATCAAAAGCCCCATCCCCATAATCAGGCTATAAATGTACCGCAGGATTCTCTTTTTTCTTAGATTAAGTGGGCCTTCTGCATTTTTCAGGGGGGAAAACACAGCGCAAAGCAAACTCTCTTTTGATCGACCTCAAAGATCTACATCCTTGCGATTCAACCAGGGGTGAAATCCAGCAGGTTCTGACAGGTTCTGGAGAAGCGGAAATATTGAGCAGTTCAGAGAACCCATAGCAAAAATGGGTATTTTTGAGAACTGGTATTTACCACCTCTGGCTGGCTCCAGAGTGGAGAGGGAATGGGGATTTTTTTATTATTTATTTTTTTATTATTCATATTTCTATGCCGCCCACTCTCCGAGGACTCTGGGCAGCTTACACCAAAGACAGTATACATATTGCATATTGCCTCCAACAATCTGGGTCCTCATTTTACCCACCTCGGGAGGATGGAAGGCTAAATCAACCTTGAGCCCGTGAGATTTAATCCGCTGATCTGCTGAACTAGCAGTCAGCTGAAGTAGCTGCAGTACTACACTCTAACCACTGCGCCACCTCGGCTCTAATATTTTGCAGTATCCTTCCCCTGGAGTGGGGTGGGAATGGAGATTTTGCCACACCCACCAAGCCACTCCTACAGAACCGGTAGTAAAAAAAATTGGATTTCACCACTGGATTCAACCCTCAAGAAGAAGAAAAAAGAAAATCAAGCTCCCCAGAGTCTAAAGTGATACCGACTTCTTTTAAAAAAACAAAAAAACACCACTCCTTCAACCCAGGTGCCCCGCTTTTTATGGCGAGTTGTTCAGCTTTGCGTCTATGTTCTTTATTTCCTTTAAGTCAGTGTTTCTCAACCTTGGCAACTTGAAGATGAGTGGACTTCAACTCCCAGAATTTCCCAGCCAGCGACGTGGCGCTCCCATGTGACCCCCCTCCTGCGTGAGCTGCACTGGCTCCCGGTGATCTTCCGGGTGCGCTTCAAGGTTTTGGTTACCACCTTTAGAGCGCTCCATGGCATCGGACCGGAGTATTTACGAGACCGCCTTCTGCTACCAATAGCCTCTCACCGACCAGTACGCTCCCATAGAGAGGGGCTCCTCAGGGTGCCGTCGGCCAAACAGTGTCGACTGGCGGCCCCCAGGGGGAGAGCCTCCTCTGTGGGGGCACCTACCATCTGGAACGAGCTCCCCCCAGAGATATGGAGGATCCCAGACCTGCGCACGTTTCGCCGTGCTCTCAAAACTTTTCTATTTCAGCAGGCTGGCCTGGCCTAACTCTCCTCTTTTAAATTTTTTAATTCGTGATTTTATAAATTGGGTGTTTTAATCTGTGTTTCAGCCAAAATATTTAATAATTTTAAGGGATTTTTAATATTTGTATTATCTGTATTTTATCTTGGCTGTTCACCGCCCTGAGTCCTTCGGGAGTAGGGCGGTATAGAAATTTGATTAATAAATAAATAAATAAATAAATAAGTTGCCAAGGTTGAGAAACACTGCTTTAAGTGAACTTCCTTTAACTTTGGATGTGCTAAAATTCTTCGACTTCTGTTCAGTCCTTCAAAACGGAGAGTTAAGTGGGGGAGGATCCAAGGAAATCCAACAACAACAACAACAACAAACAGCGTATAAAACCTGGTGGCAAAAAACAAACAAAAAACAAAACCCGGTTTGACCTCCAGGTGCCTTCAAGAGAGCAGATACTAAGAGCGGGAGGGGACACTGAGAATTCAAAGCCGAAAGAGCCAATCCCTCCAGCCCGGGATAAGCCTGGGGGGGGGAAAGAAAAACAAGGCTGTTTTTCGCCAGGGAAGAAACCATCCGGGAGATGCCCCCGTCCCAGCAGGCGATGAGGCGGAGCCGCCAGAGACCTTCCCGGGAGGCTCCTCCTCTTCACGGAAAGATTAAAATCCCAGCCCGCGAGGGGTCTCGCCGCCGCCCTCCACCGAGAAACGAACGGCTTAGCCGACCGGCGCCCTTCGGGAAGGGAGGAAAATGGCGTTAAGCCGCCGGGAGCATCGGATGACAGGCACCGACGGAAGGAAAGGAGTACCGAGAAGACTTAACGAGGCCGGAAAGGAGATAACTTCCCCAAGCTCTACCTGCGCTTCGCCTCACCTTTAAAGACTGGGCTCCGGGCGTGGCTGGGTCGCTGTCGCACACCCGCGGGGACAGCACCGCCGCCATCACCGGCCACGGATGGGCTGGGCTACAGACCGCTTCGCCCTCTCCTCCCACGCGCCAAGCAACCCGCACCACCACCACCACCACCACCCGCTTCAGGCCCGGCGCCACCTGCAGGCCCGGGGATGGCAATGCAGGCGCCGGATCGTTTTTTTTTTTTTCTTCTTGTCTGCGGAGGGCTCGAGCTTTGCCTTCGCGAGCAGCTTCTAGCCTTGAATTTACTGGTCCAGAAGTCGGCCGTGAAACGTGTGATTTTAGAGCCTGCGCTATAAATGCAGGCCTTTACTGGGGCAGATCGCGGTTTCATTACGAGCGGCAGCTGTTTTCTTAAGAGGTTTATGTCACCCATCTGGGGGCGGATGATGGGACAACTTGGTGCGGCCAACTCCCCACGGCGAACTCGCTGCGGGACAATTCAACGATTCACTTTTAAGTATTTAAAATAATTTTAAGAAATATTCTAATTTAATTAGCATTTTGTCGTTTATATTTCATTGTGTCCCTTATTTTGCAACCTTTCTTTAACGCTTATTATTCCACTGTTTCTTTGTGTAATTTATCCTGCAGCGAGTTGGCCGGGTCGATGAGCTCAGTGAAGTCAGCAAGTGTATTGAGTCAATATTTAAAAATAAATGTTTTTAAGAAGATTGTTTTATCTTGCCTATTACTTTTTATTAATAACTCAAGTCTGTGGTCTAATATATTTCCTCTCCTTCTATTTTCTCCACAACGACAACCCTGTGAGGTGAGTTAGGCTGAGAGAGAAGTGACTGGCCCAAAATTGCCCAGCTGGCTTTTATGCTGCGGTGAGACTAGAACTCAAGAGTTTCCTGGTTTTTATTTTTATTCTAGGTAACCTATGTCCTCCCAGATTTTTGCTGAAGTATATGTGTGTGTGGAGGCAAGGAATTGAATCAAACTCTGAGACTCAGTTAAGCCCACTCATAAAACAGATGCTATTTCAATTATGTGGTATGGGTGCAAATGTTTTGAAGCCTTAATCAGTCAGCCATGGTGGTTGGGAGAAGAACCCAAGAAGCAAGCCTGGAAGAAAAGTAAGATACCAAATATCACATGTCTAACAAATACAGTAAGTATTGCATAAAATATTACCACCTTATCTGGGCTGCAAATATCCAAATCATTGCAAGATGATAGAAAATATAGAAACTTTTTCTGCCATCCAGTGGTCACCTAGAGTTTTAAAGTCCAAACTAGAGAGCCCATGACCCATTGAGACATTTTTCTTTCCGGATATAAGGTAGGCTTGTACCATTTTCTCTCCTTTCACCAACCTCAGGAGAGCCAGTGAAGTTGTGTCCTCCTCCTCCACCTTAGGTGATCTGAGGAACTCCCTGCCACTTGGGGGGGAGGCAGGTGGGCGGAACAGAGTAGTGAACCATGGGGAAAACTGCACTTCTATTCCCCATTCTCGTTTGTCCCCAAGGAAGGAAGGAACCAGGAAGGAACCATCAGTGCCTCCCAATCAACTCTATCTTGTCAGGAGACATCTGAAATATTCCCTTGTTTCTTCCCCAAACCAGTCACTGCTGTTAAGAGATTTCAAATTTCAGCCTCTATTCCAAAACACTTGGCTGTTGGGTCCTGCCACCGGCTGATTTGTATCAAGCAACCTATGGGTTTCAGGGAAGTGTAGCCAGAAGATGTGGTGTTGAAGTGACCATGATTATCTTTAACAATTTTCAATCCCATGGGAGCAAAGGGTCCTAGATTTTGGTTGCATTCTGTAAATTGGCCCTTTCGATCCAAAACTTGTTGCTCTATGATGCACTATTTTGCCCAAATTGAAGATTACAAATTATCAAACAGATATAAGAGTTTTAGTCATATATGGATATGTATAAAGTCCTAAACTGGACTCAGCTGGTGGGGAAGGTCACTAATTGTGATTACGTAACTGCCAGATGCTGCAGGATTGAAAAGATTGCAATCATGATCATAGGGATGCTGGACAACCAAGAACTTCAAGACTAGTTGTAATCGACACTGTTTCAGCACCATCATAACACTGAATGGTCACTGAACGAGTAACAGGCATGCCCAGTTGTTTGGTTATCAATACTCAACAGGCAGCAAGGAGTATCACTGTCATCAATGTTTTGCACAAAAAATGTCACAGTGGTAGTGTGATTGAAAAAAAGCAAATACATTTATTTGAGCAAATTGAACAAGAAAATCTCAATATGTTGCTACAATGTTTCTTTGTTACTGTTTGTAAGCCATCTAGAGTCACTGTTGAGTGAGTAGGCAGCTATATAAATGTCCATAAATTAATTAATTTATTAATTACTCAAAATAGGAAGCAACTACAAGAGCCACCATAACATAGTTCTCAGTTTCATATTGAGCTTGAACCCAAGTGTCTCTTGCAACATCCCAGACCCATCTGCTGGCAATCTGGGAAAAAGAAAAGAACAAAGTAGCAACAAATTAGCTAACATTTTAAAATTATAATTCATAATCACATAACAAATCTATTGCAACAATATCTTATGCTGGGACTGTTGGATTAGTATTGTCTGTTCAGTTTAACAGAATTATCTACAAATTGCCAAAAATTAAAGTCAAACTACATAAATTGAAGTAATTTCTACACTCTATTATGTCAGCACATAATATATTACACGATGGCATGATGACTAATTAAACTTGATTTAATAAAAATGTTAAAAAAAATTAATATAAGAGCAAACATATATGGAAAAAGATAATAGCATTGCTCAGTTTACAATATGGCAAAATAATTGCAAATTAAGAAAAAAATCTGAAAGAAAATGCAATGCAGTAGTCTGCTACAAATAAAAAATTCTACCTAAAATGTCTATACGACATTGGAGAGGTACCAAACTAGTATTAGAATTCACCAGATTATTTTTTAAAAAGTGTATCTTCATGAACATAGCCTACAATATAAAAAAAGACTCAAATTAAAATCCAACCCCATAACTAAAGAAGAGATAAAAAGAAAATTAGATTTAGCATTATATAGAAAGCAAAGTTAGTGCAAATTCCTTGTACATCAAATATTTTTTACCATGACCTCCATAACATGCCTTTTCTGTCACACCTGATGGAATACCAAGAAGTAATCAGTAAATTTGCAACAACTTTAGTCATACTAATTTAGGTAAATAAAGTGCTTTATTTCATCAGGTGAATACAGTAGATCTAGTTGGTGATAATATATGTAAAACAATTTATTACATCTTACCGATTTCAACCAGAGCTAATTTTAGCAGATGAATTTGAACCCAATGAAAAAAAAAGTTTCAGCTATGATGGCCATTACTTACATGTTTTGCTTGCATTTTTCCATATGCTGACTGTTCTTGAAAATGCTGGAACATAAGGCCTTGAGTATGATTTAACAAGGTAGTTCATTCCACTTTAGTAATCTGATAGGGTCCCATTTCAAAAGTAATATTCTGCACAACTGCAACAGGCAAATGTGGGCATTTTTCAGAGAACACAATAGGGTAGTTTATGTACTTACATGTATTGACTGACCAGTCTTTTCCACAAGAAATAGCTGAACTATATACTTGTAACGATCAAACCCCAGTTCCTTGACACCTGCTAATATATCTTCTGAGATAGCTGTACAAGTGGGGGCACCATTGATTCCAATATATTTGAAATCTTGAAGTTTCTGCTATTAAGGATCAAACAAAATTGCCAATAATTGTAATAATACTTTTTCTATAAATGGTCCGTACAGCACTCATTTAACATTTAAAGCTATTCTATGTTTGATACATCCTGTAGGTATGTTGTTTTTCTGTAAATATAGTATTCAATAGTTTATAGTATTCAATAGGGTTTGTAACTATGTATATTTAACCAAATCTATATAATAGGACTGTACTCAGTTTGAAGGTTTGCTTCATGGAACTTCAATTTTAAATAGGCTATTCACTATTCCACTGATTTTAGAAAAAAAAAGTCAAACTGTTTTTTGACTGCAGTAGAGCACTATTGCAACTTATTAAAAATAAGCCCATTTTAGGAACAATTTTATGTGACAAGTTAAATATAACTTCACAGGATGTTAGAATATATTGGTGCTTATTATTATTTTAGTTTTAGATCACTTTAATTTTAGAGATTATATTCCCCAAGGAATTCTGGGAACTAATTTGTGAGATATATTCAGAATTCAATTGGAAGATCTCTGGCTTGTCCATAGAGGCTGGAATTGCCCATACTGTAGGACTTGTTACCAAACGTTAAAAGCTAAATTATGTCAGGTGATAGATCTTAGTGAAGGAAGGCCCTTTCCCTTTCAAAAGCCCACCATTGACGTGCAATACTTTTCACTTCTTGTTTCTTCAATTCATTAAAACACTCTGCTAGCTCCATTCAGTTGCCCAGATTCTACCCCACAAGGGATTTTGGGGTCGTTAAATGAAGATGATGATGATGAAAGTAGGATGTCAACACTTCCCAACTCAGCCTGCAAGGAATGTTTCAGTCATCAATCACTTTTCTTCTAGAAAACACTCAAGGCAGCCAGGAAAGAGCCTCCATTACAGGCTATTAGTGGCCAAGGCAGAAGTGCCCAATTTGGGCACTTGCAAATGAACTCATGGGAATTTAAATTTTAATTAAAATCAGTTAATTATACACACACACTTCTCCAATACTGCTGATATTTCTATTAGTGTTTGATAATATGGAGCACAGTGACTCACAGGGTTAGGATTCTGGGTTGAAGGTTAGCAAGCCTGCATTTGAGGCCCAAGTGCTGCTGCGTTGCAGGGTAGCTGCCCTCATTCGCTCCAGCTCAACGGGAACATGAATGGAGCCCCCATGGGAATCCCTCAGGCAACAGTGATATCAGTGGCTAATCCTTTCAACCTGGAAGCGCCTTAAAAGGTGCTTCCGGCATAAATGGGACTGAAGTATATGAGGATGATGAATAGGCTCCATTTACAGGTAGTCTTCTATTTACAACAGTTCATTTAGTGACTATTCGAAGTTACAACGCACTGAAAAAAGTGACACCATTATTTTTCACACGATTGTTGTAACATCCCCATGGTCACATGATCAAAATTCAGATGCATGGCAACTAGTTCATCTTTATGATGGTTGTAATGTCCTGGGTTTACATGATCAGCTTTTGCAACCTTCTGACAAGCAAAGTCAATGGAGAAGCCAGATTCACTTAACAACCAAGTTACTAACCTAACAAATGCAATTATTCACTTAACAGCTGCAGCAGGAAAAGACATAAAATGGGGCAAAACTCACTTAACAAATGTTTCACTTAGCAACATAAATTTTGGGCTAAATTGTGGTCATAACTCAAGGACTAACTGTAGTTTAATAAGTTATTTGCCATAAACTACATTTTAAATGAGCTATGCTGTTAATAGGAGATATAACAAAAGGTTTAAGTAATATAATTTATGGTTTAGAACCTAATTCTTATTAGAAAATATTTTACCTTTAGAATCTCTTCAGTTCTCTTCCTTACTATATGAGACTCACATTTTCTATAAGGTTCCATCCTGTAAGTGTTAGCATATTTCGGTCTTGCAAAGCTAGTCTTGAATACTAAGAGCTCATTTTTTGTAAAATCTGTGATGGATTCATCATCTGGGTCCATACCTGATATGTCATAGCTTGAAGCTCTGTGTTTTCCTGATTGTGAAAGCTAAACCCCCCCAATACATAAAGACATCTTTATTTCACTCACAAAATTAAAATGACAAAACTTAAACATAGTAAGAGGGGGTTAGCTTTTTTTTTCATCCTGCCCCTTTTTTTCAATTCAAGGTGGTTAAAATACCAATACTTCTTCCTTTTCCCCACAACAACAACCCTGTGAGGTTGGTTGGACTAAGAGAGTGACTGGTCCGAAGTCACCTAGCCAGTTTTTCATGTCCAAGGCAGGACTAAAATTCATAGTATCCTGGTTTGTAAGCCAGCATTACTATACCAAAGCGGCTCTTTAATTGAATGCAATGGAATGTTCTGATTTGCAGCCATATAAATTAGTTCTGCATTCTGTATATTCCATTTTGCTTAACATGGAACCCCAGAGTTATAGTTTTATGAGGGAAAACAAAATTGCTTTTATTTTCTACACATTTTTGTTTCATCAAAACTTCCATTTGGGACATAAACATTGCCTTTAAACCATATTGATATTTTCTTGATCTTGCAGTTGCTTTTCTGAACAAATTTCAGTCAGCACTTTATAGTCCCCAAAAGTTTGGACAAACATTGCCTCTCCCAAAAACAAAGACATTCAACAGTTTTTACAGACTCAAAGTAGAAATCATGTTGTCTTTTATTTTTGGCGCATCAAAAGTAGCAATCCTAGGAATATTTTCCAAATAAAGTGTCTTATCTAATTCAGTACATTTTATATGTTCATTTAAACCAGTGTTTTTCAAACTTTAAGATGCTTAATATCTTTAACACATCTTAAAAGTTGTCAAATATTTTTTAAAAAACATTTAAACAAAAGACTGAAATCTAATCCTGGTAAATGACTGTATGTCTCTCGTCTTCTCAACTTGCAGTGGATGAAGGGTTCATTATAAAGTAGTACAGCATACTTTTTTTTTTATTGCAAAAGTTTTACAATTACATTTTCACCCCTTTTCCCCCCCCACCACCACCCACCCCAAACTTCCCAACCTCCCTAACCCTCCCCTCCCCCCAGACTTCCCTATATTATACTCATATCTGGTAAAAAAATAAAATAAAAAAAACCCTTAATATAAAACTTGTGTAAAAACTTGAACCCCTCCCTCCCCTTTATAATTTTTCTTTTTACCCTCATTACATTAAAATATTTCTAATACATTATTTTCAAATAAAAGCTATTTGATACTTTCTAGTTTGATATTTGTTCTGAACATATTCTATCCACTTTTTCCATTCCCATTCATAAGTCTCTTGTGAACAATCTTTTAAGTATGCTGAAATCTTCGCCATCTCTGCAAAACTGGCCATCTTCAAAGTCCATTCCTCGATAGTGGGCAAAGCTTCATTTTTCCAATATTTACCTATCAACAATCTTGCTGCTGTTATCATATACAATATCAGTTTTGTTTCACCCAATGTAAAACCCTTAACTATACCCAATAAAAACAATTGTGGAGAGAATTGAATTTTTTTCTTCAAAACATTCTGCATGACCCACCAAATTTTTATCCAAAAAGCCTTAACTTTCCTACAGGTCCACCAAACATGATAATACGTAGCATCCAAACATTCACATCTCCAACATTTTGGCTGAACATTAGGGTACATACATGACAACTTTTTGGGATCTAAATGCCATCTATAAAACATTTTATAGAAATTTTCCCTCAAATTCTGCGACTGTGTAAATTTAACATTCTGAACCCAAATTTTTTCCCATGTTTCCAACATCACTGGTTCTTCAAAATTTTGTGCCCACTTAATCATACAATCTTTAACTAATTCAGTTTCTGAATCCCTTTCTAACAAAACATTATAAAGCCTTTTGATATGCATTGGACCTTTCTCTTTTATATGTCTAACCAATTCTTCCTCGTGCAACATAATACCAGTTTTTTGGTCCTCTTTCCATCTCAATTGTAATTGATTATATTGTAACCAAGTTAGATTAATCCCTTCGTCCAACAGTGTCTGCAATGTCTTCAGCTGCCATCTGCCCGCATCTGTAAAAAGAACCTCTTTGTATAAAAACCCTCCGAGTGACATTATATTTGTATTCCACAAAATATGACCAAGATCCAGCCATAGCGGTATTTTATAATCCCATTTGAATCGGTGCTTCTTCCAAACTCTCATCAAAGAGTCTCTAAGTATATGGCTTTTAAATACTTTATCAACTTTGTCATCATAAAATAAGTAGGCATGCCATCCAAATTCAAGATCAAAACTTTCTGCATTCAATATTCCAGCCTTTTTCCTTCCAAACCAATCACTTGTTAAAGTTAAAGCTGCTGCATCATAATATAACTGTAGGTTTGGAAGTTTAAGACCTCCTCTTTCTGGAACATCTTGCATAATTTTCAATTTCACTCTCGGCTTTTTCTCGTTCCAGACGAACTTATTCACTCCAGTTTGCCAGACTTTCAATTGTTTATCACTTTTAAGCACCGGAATCATTTGAAACAAAAAAAGAAATCTTGGCAAAATGTTCATCTTAACTGCTGCTATTCTTCCAAGTAGAGACAGCTGCAGTTTTTTCCAAGTCTCCATGTCTTTCTGCACCTCTCGCCACAACACCTCATAATTATTTTGAAACAATTTCATGTTTGATTCTGCAACCTGAACTCCTAGATATTTTACCTTTGGTACAATCTCAAAACCTGCCCTCCTTTCAAGCTCATGTTTACGATCTTGTGTCATGTTTTTAGCTATCATTTTAGTCTTTTTTGGATTCAGTCTAAAACCTGAAACTTTACCATAGTCTTGTATAATGTCCTTCATCAGGATTATTGATTCCATTGGCTGTGATAGGGTAACAACCAGATCATCTGCAAATGCCTTTATTCTGTAATCCTCTTGCCTAATCATTATACCTTTCAGGATATTAGAGTCCCGTATTGTATTTAGCAAGACTTCTAGTGTTAAAATAAATAAAAGTGGGGACAGCGGACATCCCTGTCTTGTTCCTTTTTCAATTTTAAACTCTGTTGTCAAACTTCCATTAATAATGATCTGTGCCTTTTGCTCTTGGTAAATTGCTGAAATCGCCTGTATAAATTGATCCCCAAAGTCCATCTTTTTTAAAGTCTTTAGTAGAAAATTCCAATCCACTCTATCAAAGGCCTTCTCTGCATCCAAAAAGACCAGCACTGCAGGAATCTGTTTATTCTTCTCAAGATATTCCAATAAATCTATTACTTGCCTTACATTATCCTTCATGTATCTGCCCTCGATAAATCCCGCTTGATCATCATGAATCACCTTTTGGATTACTGGCATCAACCTGTTGGCTAATACTTTCGCATAGATTTTATAGTCTGTATTCAAAAGAGATATTGGTCTGTAATTCTCTGGTTTTTTAGGACCGACTTGTTCTTTCGGTATCAAAGATATATAAGCTATTGTCCATGATGGGGGTATTTTACCCCCTTGTTGAATATTGCAAAATAAATCTCTAAGTTGTTCCACCATTTCAGCTTGCAAAGTTTTGTAATACACTGCGGTCAAACCATCCGTGCCAGGAGCTTTGGCTGTTTTTAACTGTTTAATTGCTACTATTATCTCCTCCTCTGTTATAGGATAATTCATTCTTTCCTTTTGTTGATCAGTAATTTTTGTAACTCTTTTATCGTTTAAATATTTTTCTATAAGTCCATTCTGCACCTCCTCTTTGGCGTATAGTTTGGTATAATAGTCCACAAAAGCTTCTTTAATTAATTTTTGTTGAAAAATTTCTTTCCCTCCAATATCAATACTATCAATAGTCCGTATACTCTGTTTTTTCCTCAATGTGTAAGCCAACCATCTGCCCGAGTAGTACAGCATACTTGACCAAAGACTCAGATAGGGTTGCTAATGGTTCTCCAAGGGAAAGTCAAATACAGGTTTCTATTATGTGATTCATGCATAGGGTACTTGAAGAATTTGTGAAACAGAAACATTCCAATTTGAATTTTGATAGTGTGTTAGGTAATAAACAAAAGCGAAGATAATACACGTATAGAGAAACTAGAATGGTATACATTTATTACAAGCAATAAAATGTACTTCTTTACAGTACATAATGAGAATATAGTAGAAACCAAAATTAACCCTCTTGAACAGGGTCTCCTTAGATCTGCAACATGCTTGACATAAACCAGGGGTCCCCAAACTTGGCAGCTTTAAGACTTGTGGACTTCAACTCCCAGAGTTGGCTGGAGAATTCTGGGAGTTGAAGTCCACCAGTCTTAAAGCTGCCAAGTTTGAAGACCTCTGACATAAACAAATATTTCTCAACCTTGGCAACTTTTAAAAGGTACGGACTTCCAATTCTACAGCATGCTGACTTAGGGAATTCTGGGTGTTGAAGTCCCACACGTCTTAAAACTACCAAGGTTGAGGAAAAACTGGTAAAGACAACTTTAGTGTTGTTAACAGCAAGCACTCCTCGTGTAGCTTAACGCAACTTTGGACCGAGCCCATATCTACACAGCGCTTTAACTGAGGGGGGAAAAAAATAGGCTCTGGCTGCTTTCCAAAGCGCACCACCCCAGCAAAACGGGTGCAAGGAGTTTCCCTGCCGTTCGGCCCCGCCCACTCGGTGGAAAGCCTGTTAACCCGAAGCCCGCCCCCCCATGTTGCTCCGCGCACGCGCAGATGGCGCCGCTCCTCCTCTTTCTTACCCGACCGAGCTGATCTCTGTCTAAACCGCTGTGTTTTCTTCCCCATGCCTGCCCAGCGTGGGAAGGAGTGACGCCCAGCTTTTTTTTGGCTTTATCCATTGGGAACTCCTCCCTTTTTAGGCAACTGCTTGGGGCGGGCGGCGCAGCAACCGTCCACACGCGGACCCGTTAGGAGCAGCCTTTGAAAGGCGCGAGGCTGTGATTTCTACCCGTGACGTCAGCAAGCGCGAGCTAAGCAACCCCAGAACCAGAACCGAGCAGAGGTAAATGCGGCGGATCAATCTTCCCACAATCTGATAGGTCGCCTAAGAGAAGTTGGAGGATTCTGGGAATTGTAGTTCAATGATTGCGGCTCTAGGAGCGAGAGCGCCTCATATCGGTTCAGGTCGACTTTTTGCTGTTGTTTTTGCCTGGCTTGCTATTTCCTTCTTTTGCTAAACGCCAGGTTAAGGCAAGGTTCCTAAACTTTTTGCCATCACACCTTCCTACGTTGTAATCTTAATGTACACACCTCCCCTAAAAATACAAACATCAAAATGAACACAGGAGAACAATGAAGCTGCAGGAAAGGTGGGTTTATTAAAAATGTAATTAAAAAGTTCTTCAGAGGTCCTCTGGACTTTGCTCCGCCCCAAGGGAGGCACATCTCACCGTTTGGGGAACCTGGTTTAGGGGATTTGAGTTGGGAAAGAGTTTGGAAGACATTCCCTGGAGACATGAGTATACATCTTCCATGCCACCGATGTGTTTGCTGCTGTTAAAGCTCCAGTCCAAAGGAGACAAAAAGGAACACAAATCATGATTGTAATGGAAACTAAATATTATTTTACAGCAGTGGTAGAAAGTTCTAATGTTGCTGGCAACACTTGTGAGTTGTGACTTTTCGCAAGTTACAGGTTAGTGCTTGACTTACAACCATTTGTTTAATGACCGTTCAAAGTTACAGTGACACTGAAAAAAATGAATTATGACCAGTTCTCATACTTAGGATTATTGCAGCATTCCCATCAGAGGTGGGTTTCAGCAGGTTCTGACTAGTTATGGAGAACCTGTAGTAAAAATGCTGATTGGCCCTGCCCCCATCTATTCTCTGCCTCCCAAGTCCCAGCTGATCGGAAGGAAATGGGGATTTTGCAGTAACCTTCCCCTGGAGTGGGGAGGGAATGGAGATTTTACAGTATTCTTTCCCTGCCATGCCCACCAAACCATGCCCACAGAACCGGTAGTAAAAATGTTTGAAACCCACCACTGATTCCCATGGTCATGTGATCAAAATTCAGATGCTTGGCAACTAGCATGGATTTATGACTGTTGCAGTGTCCTGGGGTCATCACCTTTTGTGGCCAAGCCAAGTCAATGGGGAAGCAGATTCACTTAACCATGTTTCCAATTTAACAAATGTAGTGATTCACTGAACAACTGTGGCAACAGATGTCACAAAATGGGGCAAAACTCACTTAACAAATGTCTTGCTTAGCAATGGAAATTGGCTCAGTTGTGGTTGTAAGTGGAGGACTACCTGTATGTGTATCACCCGGTCAGCTAGACAGAAATGCATCTTAAATGCAGAGGTTCTATGACTGCCTGGCATAATTAGTATTAATGTTGAACCGTTTGCTTAATTGTGACCTTCATTTTGTTTCACTGTATTGTTCTGGGATTACAGAGTAATTGCATTGTGGGTTGGTGCTTTATTAAAAAAAGATTCTGATGTGATGTCTGCATTAGGGTTACCAGTCTGGGCTATAAAGCTATCAATGACCATTAAAAGGCAGCAATAACATTTTTTGTTTCTCCTACTCAGAAGCTACCATTCCCTAATGTGAACAAGAAAAAAACACCTCTTCTGTTTATCCAGAGGAATTAGAAGCATCATCCTTAGCCAATGAAGAATGCATTTATGCAGTTCTGTCACAGCTTCTTTACAAGTGTTGGCTGTTTTTTCCCAAATTTATTTATTACAACCATAGTGAAGTCAGCAAATGTTAATATGTTGAGGCCCATAATTGGTGAAATGAGTTGGGCAAGGATGACCTGTGGCTTCCCAGGTTGAACTGGAGGGTTCCCCAGAGACTATCCAGTTAAGCCAGATCCAGATGATTGCTACGTGGCCAGGAAGAGTTGAGATTTTCACTATTTTTGCAACCCGTGATTATTATCAGCTACTAAATATTAAGACATCCTCTAAAATACAGAGAAGAGAAAGATTTTTGGTTGTAAACTCAATTACATATTTACTGTGTAATGATTAATATTTGATAAATAACACAATAAAAAAAGCATTTTCTTAGACCCAGCACATCTCTCATCTACAGTAGTGATACTTATTTACACGAAAGGATTGTCAAGCAATTTTATTCAATCCTATTTGTAGAATGTGGACATAACAACAGGGTGTGAAAAAAGTTCATTGCAGATTGTTTTCAAGATACTTTCAGTTCCTGAAACATGAGAATAAATGGCCCACTGCTTACATATACAGAGTGGTTTTTAAAATATTGTAAATGTTAATAAACATAAGCAGGAATTATTTATGGTATCTTTAGGCTGACAATTAGGGAGGAAAAATGCTGTTGCGGTGCCTACCGAATATCCATGATTTTTCTCTTTACTCTGGATTACATTAACTTTCATCCTACAGGGATGAAATATCAAAATGTCAAATCTCCAGGTAATATAACTGTCAGCATTGTAATTTTATTTTCATTTTTGCCGCTGGTTTAACCATAGGATGTAGCAATATAAAATACTGGTAAAATGTGTAAAAGTAATTCTGACAGTACTAATTCTGTTTACAAACAAAATAAGTGAGGCTGCAAGAGTTCCCTTACTTTATATCACCATTTGCCTTTTTATTTCATTTCAGATGTTCTTAACTGATCCACCATCTACCTGCCTTTCCCCTACAGTGTATTATATGATTTGTGAAGCCGGATTTGAAAGGAAATCAAGCTGTGCTCTCAGTAGTTTTATACGCGACAGTGGTGAAATAAATTGGGAATTCATCACAAAACACGTACAATATGGAGAGCAAGGTCTCTATTGCTTTTAAATGTAGTGTATTGCTATACTTAGGACAGTAAGACATGTTTCTGAATTTGCATATTCAGTGGAGATCTTTTATTTGTTTGGTGGAATCTATTCGTTAAAAATAATAGAATTCCTAATTTTAGTTACTTAGCTTCAATGACTAAATGGTCATTATTTAATATTTTCTACAAAAAAGGAAAATCCTTAATGAGTTTAGGGGAACCCTTTCAGGAGAAAATAGTTTTGAAGTTTTTTATATTTAGCAGTACTTGACAGTATTCTTGAACCCGATTGATTATTTTTGTTTTTTAGACTCAACATTGGATTATATCAACAGTGTGAAATCTTTAGGTCCTTTATGTGAATCTATTCATTTGCATTTGAAATCACTTACAGTGGAGCAATTTGAAAACCAGTTTGTGGGATGGCTTCAATGGACAAACTGCCCAGAGGTAAGAAAATGTTGGATTGGATTGGATCCCCATCCCAAATTGATGGATGGATGGATGGATGGGTACACACATACATACACACACATTTCTTTAGCGTATGGCAGTGGTCCCCAACCCCCGGTCCATAGACCGGCATCACTCTTCAGCATGCCAGAAACCGTGCTGCACAAACAAGCAAAGCTCCATCCACGGGATGCAGGTAGCACACAAAACCATGCACCCTCCAGTCCACGGAAAAACCCCTCTCTACTGAATTGGTCCCTGGTGTCCAAAAGGTTGGGGGCCGCTAGAGCATGGCATATCATACATGAACTTGCAATATATATTAATATTTCACCTAGCTTAAAAAAACACAATAAAAGATTAATGTTAAAAAGAGCCATATTCACACATACTAAAATAGGGATCACTGTATATGATTCTTTATTAAATAATAAAAATAAATAAAGTAATGTGGGAGTTGTAAGTTTCACAATGGGGAGTAAAAGAACAGAAAGTAAGGATATCAATTACTTGGTATGACTATTTAGAAATCTATAGCCAGTTACAAATACATTTTGGTAGGAGAAATTAGGTTTTGAGAATACAACAGCACAGAGTTCTCCAAACAGGCAATATTCCCTCAAAAATGTGTTTTGCCTTCCAAAATACTAGTGAGCCTAGCCCTAGGATATTTGTCCTGATAGTTCTATGGGTTTTCCACAGAAGAATTGTGCTCCAATGCAGAGATGGTTACCCCAGATTTAGAGCTGTGATAAAATTGTCCATCCAAATGGAAATCAGTTAGAAAAAAAGAAAGCCAGCAAATCATGCAGGACTTCTCTCCCATGTATATAAAGTAAATGTAAGGCAATTTATTTTGCAGCTACCTTGTGGATTGTATAAATTAGCTGACAGGATTTGGTGGATGATTGTATTTCTTTTGATAACTTTTTGGTCATTTCCAATTCTGTGGCAGAAACATATAAATGCTAAATTAGCTGGGCAGCAAACACTTTTATGACTCAATATCATAAGTGATTATAAGCGAAGTGAAAGATATGAAATTTTGTGTACTGTCCAGCTGGTGAAAAAGACAAGAATTAATTTGGTAATAGACCAAGTAATAACCATTGCCTTGTCTCCTTCAACGTTTCCAAAAAGAAGATCAACATTTTAAATTTGTAATTTTGTGATTTTTCACATTTAAGTACTTGTTAAAGAAAAGTAAAGATATTCTTTTTATAATCTGTCAAACAATGATTTAAAAAAAAACTTAATTGTTCTAATTGAGTTGTGTATGTAATCTTATTAAGCTCCATTTCTTCCTAATATAAATGCACAGATAAAAATAACATGGTTACACTTCATTTTTCCATCTTGTATAAACTACAGATATTTCTGGAAATGTTTGATACCATAAAGAATCCACATGGTGCAGCAGTTGCACTCAGTTTAATGAAGCTTACATCATGTTTGGAACGAGCCTTGGGTGATGTAAGTGCTAAAATTTTGGAATATGTCAAACCTGAAGTCAATGAGATCCTTTTTTACACTCAAGAAATAAGTATTTCACTTCCTTTACTAATTAAAAGGTCACAGATTCAGTATAATTTACCAGCTGGTTTCTCTGCCCAAGCACTGAGAGTGATTGGCTTTATATATGTTTGCTGATAAAATGGACTTGAGAAAAAGGCTGATTACTTGCTTTAGAGAATTTTCTCACTCTGTTGGATATGTAGAATTTGAAACCTCTCTTGGAGTCATATATCTTCTAATACTAACATTTTGATCCAAAGCACTGTATTCTGTATGACTAATACAACATTCACCCATAAATACTCCTACAATACATTTATGGAAAAGCTAAGCAAAGTCAGCCAGGTTTTAATAAATAACAGTTCATAGACATATTTACTTGACAACCTAATTGCATTAATCTCAGTGGGACTTATCCTAGGCTAGGTGTGTTTTACATTACAGTGCACATTCATTACAGTGTCTGTGGAAGCTTTAGGCCATTAAGCAGGGAAGTCAAAAAGGAGAAATCTTTTAATTAAACCTCTGCTGGGTTTCTACAACTAACTTAGCTATCATTTTTGTATTTGTCAAATTTTGTTTTTGCGGCAGTTTTTAGCTAGAGCATTTTTAATAATAATAACAATGAAGAATCCATTTTAGTTTTCTGGTGTATGATAAACCCAATGTCCTATAATATGAACTGAATGAGTTTTCTACAGTCCTTCAGTTCACATGCATTTGGAAGTAAAGACAGCAAGACAGTCATAGCATTCATAAAACAATCCCCCCCCCCATTTAACAATCCGGTAACAGTAATCCCTTGCATCAGTGTGGAGTCGGAGTGACTGAACGGAGCGTGAGCATTTAGAATTCATAAGACAATAAACCAAGTGAATTCATAAAGATTGTTGGACAACTTCCCCAATTGCTTCAAATCATTTCAGCCAAAAAGACTTATTAATAGTACCACTTAGCTTATATCCATGCTTATGGATTCCTGATTTGGGCTATCTTTGGATGTGTCCTCTTTCAAAAATCCAAACAGACACACTTTGTAATGCTTTGATGATCCAAGAACTAATATGAAATTGCTTCATACTTCTTTGCTTGGATGAAATAATTAAAGTTTCAATGTCATTATGTTTCTGTGTTGCTTTGTTTCAAATTGTTTTAAACATAAAAGAGGAATTTGATATGATGCTTTTAACAAATACATTGACGGCAAAGGACAAATATTCAGAGTGAAATATATTGTATTCTAGGTATTCTTACTAATTGGGAAAGATTGTCCTTTTCTTCTAAGAGATTTGCTCGCATCTCAGGAACTTGTTTCTATCTTTGGGCATCCAGTGGTGAGTGTTAGATTTTTAATTTCAGATTAAAAATATTTAAATATTAAGTATATTTACATTTATTTAAATAAACTATTTTTTACTCAATGGCTTACTTTGAACAATATTAATACAACAGGGCTATTAGTAAATATTGAATAAGAATGGGATAGGGGATATTTAAACAAAGATTGGAAGTTGGCATCTAGTGAGTCAGGTTTTATAGAGAGGTTTTACAGGATAGGAAATTTGTTTGGTTCATTTGTTTATGGAAAAGTATATGAACAATATATTGTTTTGCACTGTTTACTTTTTGTTCAAATTAGATGGATGTTCTGAAGGTGTTCATTGGCTCTCCAGATAGTCTAAATCTTCGTAATATTTTGTGGCACGGATTTGTGTCAGCTAAAGAGATTCCTGTCAAGTAAGTAAAATTAATTATGATTCTTTTGTTCCAGTGGCAACAGAGTTAGAAACATAATTGAACAAAAATTGAAGGAAGATGTATTCATTTAGAAAGGGATAGACTATTCACATCTAAACGACATGCCAGGAATTAACTGTGAATTATTGTAATTTATATTTTTATGAATACTTTCTTCTGTTTCAAGATGTTTGAATATTTATTTGAATTTTATTCTTTGCCAATTGTAATTTACCCTGTTTCCCCCAAAATAAGACATCCCCTGATAATAAGCCCAATCGGGCTTTGAGCACATGGCAATAAGGCCAAGCACTTATTTCAGAGTTCAAAAAAATATAAGACAGGGTCTTCTTTTCTGAGAAACATGGAATTTTTTTTTTTAAATTTGATTTATATGCCGCCCTTCTCCGAAGACTCAGGGCGGCTTACAATGCGTTAAGCAATAGCCTTCATACTTTTGCATATTTTTTATGAGTACTTTCTTCTGTTTCAAGATATTTGAATATTTATTTGAATTTTATTCTTTGAGAAAGATTGATGTATATTATATTTTCTACTGCATTGTATATCTTATTTTCCATAGATACTTCTCCATGCTACTTTTTTTAACAGCTGGATTGGGGCAACTGCTTAATAATTACTGCCTTCAGGCTCACTCTGCTTTAATTCATCGACCCTATGTATCTTTTACTCACATGAAAGAGCTACATATATTTCCAGGTATTTGTTTTAATGGTTTACTGTTGAAGATGATGCATAGCTACCATCTTGAAATATATATATATATACTTATTGAAGTTATTTTGGTTTCACTTTTAGCTAGGCTTAGAAATTGGAACCTTTATGCAAATGTAGCTTCCTGGAGTTAAAGCTTATGTTCTAGGTACAAAGAACATTAAAAAGTGCGTTAATTTATTTAGTTCTGGTGAGTATGTGCATATAGATAACATCTATGGCCAATTCTATACGTTCTTCAGATGAGGAATGGGTTTGTCGGACTTACAGATACAACAGGAAGATAGCCAGCCATCTTACCAAATTTGCTTCCAAATGGGGACTGAAGAGTTCTCAAATGTTTTCTCATGTAGATCAGGCCAGTTGGAAATTACTGGATAACACTAAATTGTGAAGAAAAGCTACAACACCTGTTGAGTCTGTGCATTTGAAAATAAATGGCTGATATACAGGTAGTCCTCAACTAGCAACAGCCTGTTTAGCAACCATTTGAAGTTACAACAATACTGAAAAAAGTGACTATGACGATTGCAGCATCTCTGTCATGTGATTTACATTTGGGTACTTGACAACTGATTCATATATGTGACGATTGCCGTGTTCTGGAGTCTTGTGATCCCTTTTTGCGACCTTCTGACAAGCAAAGTCAATGGGGAAGCCAGATTCACTTAACAACCGTGTTACTAACTTAACAACTGCAGTGATTTGCTTAACAAATGTGGCACGAAAAGTCATAAAATGGGGCAAAACTCACTTAACAAATTTCTCAATTAGCTGCATAAATTTTGGGCTCAATCATGGTTGTAAGTCGGACTACCTGTATTTACATAGCATTTTTTAGAGGTATGTTTAAATGTAATAGATTTTGGAAGCACGTAAAGCATTTTGAGTTGAACCATTTGCATTCGAAGTAACCCCTATTAAATTTGTATCAATTGCTTCAAATGCAAAGCTGGCTGCATTAGTCAGTTTGGAAGATTTTCAAGTTGGACTGAGCTGTTTTGAATTCAGAATTGTTTGAATTATTAAAAATATACAATGTAACATAAAATGCATAAAAGAAGCAGAATAAAACAAGTTGACATTTCAGACACAGGAATGACATTATTGTAGGTTCCCAAACTTTTTGAAGCCACAAGTTTATCTAAAAGAGCTAGAAAAATAAAAACTCCAATCTTAGGTCAGGCTTTTCCAAACAATGGGTGTGAGAGGCTTAAATGTGTTTGTTTAGTTCTCTTGCCTAAATCTGTTGCATAAAGAATAATTAAAATACCACTTCATTGTTGCTATTCGTGATCAGTACAATAGAATTGGTATCTGTGATCTTTATCAGTAACTGGTATCTAAATTTTCTTTTTATCCTTGCTTTCAGCCCATTTTGCTTTTGAGTCATATTTTTTAGATTGTAAATCTGAAAACGGATACTGTTCAGCCTCTGAGAACATCTTTTGTGAGGAAGAGGGGTAAAATAAGAATAAAATGCTTCACAATATAGAATGCTTTGCAAAATCTTCTCGGGAAATGTAAAAAATCAATAAAGATGCACTAGACCTGGCAGTTAAATCTTACAAGTAGTGGTGGAAGCATTGTTTGAGCATTATTTGAAGATTGTCTTAATAGATTTTGATTATAATTTTTCTCTACAATAATTTTTTTTAATAATGCAACAAAAGTTCAATTTCAATGCAAGTTCCTCTCTTCTGGTTTATAGAGCTGAATCAAGAACTCTTGTCATTGGCTGAAGAATTAGTAACAAAATCCAATATTATATTAAAGACTATGATACCTTTTTGGATTGCTGCAATAACTTCATTCCAAGAGGCAAGGTAACAACATTAATGTATTTTAATCTTTTTTTAAGTAGTTAAAAAGTGGTTTAATGCAATTAAAGTACAGGGCATAATTTATTAGAGGTCATTTAAGTATTGCCCATAAGTTGTCATTTCTTGCAATCTTTGGCAAAAGTTTCCATATGATCTAGGACAACTTGTCCTGACCAATTTTCCTTAGCTGACTTGATGCAGGACAACTTTCCATGGTCAATTCAACTTGGGATAACTTGCCGTGGGACAATTCAGTGTGGAATAACTACCTATTTAACACAACAGGAGGAAGCTTTTATTCCCCCATCCCTGCATCTTTTGTTGAATATCAGCAAAGGAGATGATACATTCATTCCCCTAAGTATTAAAAACACTATTAGGTATATTTGAATCAACAAGTAACAAAGGCAACCATAATCAAGCAAGAGGATCAGTGTGATGACGAGAGAGAGCATTTCCCTGAAAATATGCTGCATCAAAACAGTATAAATGTTCAATTTTCTAATCTTGCTTATGAAAGTGGGAGGATATTCTCTGCCCATCTACAAAGGAAGTTCTGATCACAACAAAGTAATGCATCACCAGGAACTAGTCCAATACGGGTTGCGGTGCATTGTGTATGCATGCATGTATGTATTGTTCCTTGGAATGAAAGCCAGCAGACTTCAAGTTGCTTATCAAATTAAGGAAAGAAAAAGTGATTGGATATTAAGAGAGTAGAGATTATCAAGTCACGACAGGCCCTCCTTTAATTAGTTTCTGGTTGGGATAGGCAAAGTGATTTCTCAACTTTATCCTCATGCATGGAATCCAATTAAGTTGGCAGCTGAGTTTCACTCCAGGAGTGGTTATTTGACATACATTTTAATTGACCATAAAAATGCTTTTATTAGGAAAAATGGATAGGGTGTTTCTAACCTACTACTATAGCTCTTTCTTCTAAACCTCCTTCAGATCACAAATGCTTCTGCTGAAATCCGTCCAGTTTGATACATGCTACTACTATCTGCATTTGATCAACAGTAGTTTGGAAATATTTAACTTTCAATATTAATAAATATTCAATATTTATTGAATGCTTTTCCTTACCAATATTCCATTAGGCCATATTTTCATTCTCTCTCTCCGTCTCTCTCTCTCTCTCTCTCTCTCTCTCTTTCTCTCTCTCTCTCTCTCTCTCTCTCTCTCTCTCTCTCTTTGTTTTCAGACTTCATTGGCAATCCATCTTCATTAAGTTCAGCCCTTTTATCTTCATAATGTATATATCCCAATCACAAAGAAAGTGTTTGTATCACTATAATAAAAATGTTCCATGGAACATCAAAACGAAAGGCATAATCATGGCTAGCACTGTTAATTAGGCAAAAAAGAAGTGGCAATGTCTTCCTTTTTATAGGATAACTGCAGTGTTCATTCATTGGTGTTATTTTCAAAAAGAAAACCAAATTAAGAGAGCTGTATAATGGCCCACAGCCCCCAGTCCAAATATTATTAATTTTCAGATAATTTGGCTATTTGTTTATATTTTGATCTATGTAAAAACCATCTTCTTTTTTTGCAGTTTGAATGATCTGTGATTAGTGTATGTTGGAGATTCATAGTTATTTTCAGAAGAGATGCCTGCTGGAGCTTTTGTTCAGAGTTGCATACCCATTATATCGTTGTCCCGGGGCGAGTTGGCTGCAGCAAGTTGGCTGGGGCTTTTCCAACAGGAAGTAGTTCTGAGGCGAGTTGGCTGCAGTAAGTTGTCCTGCATTGAGCTGGCCACATTGTGTTGACCAGGCCGAGACCCATTATACCCTTATCCTGGGGTGAGTCAGCTATGGCAAGTTGACTGGGGCTTATCCCATGGCAAGTTGGCCATAGCGAGTCAGCTGGGACGAGACCCATTATACCATTTTCCCGGGATAGTCAGCCACAGCAAGCGGGCCAGAACTTGTCCTGCAGCGAGTTGCCCCTTGGTGAATCAGCCACGGCAACTCAGCCGTGGCCAATGGGTAAGTTGTCCCATTCCGCATTCCATAAGCTACTGTTGTTTGTGTATGTATGCATGTATGTATTGTTCCTTGGAATGAAAGGAACAATGAAAGGATATAAGTATCATCCCATAGAAACAACTAAAGAAGATGGTTCTTTTCCCATAAAATGACCAGCAAGTCTGTTGACCCTTAATTTACATTAGAATCTAAGGACTTCCCCATTGCCTGACCAACTAACAGTATGCTCCAAGCATAGTAATATTCCCTGTTTTCACAGGTTATAGCATCTGAATAGTTAAACCATTTTTCTGCATAAAGTAAGAACAAAGTATACTGTAGCTGAGTCTCTCAATAATATTTCTTTCAGGTATGCAGATAGTGTCATTTTGATACTTCCTCAGCTGGAAGGTGGGCTTAGAGTACTCTTCACAGCAGTTAATAAATGTCCAAGCAGACTAATGACAGCTGAGGTAATCAATTTTTATCTATTGTTATCCATATGTTTTTTTTAAAAACAGTGGAATTTGTTGAAAATTATGCACACTATATTTCAGATTAGTCTTTATTTTATAGTGAATGCTTTTATATTTATTTATTTATTATATTTATTATATTTATTTATTTATTATATTTCTATACCGCCTTTCTCCCGTAGGACTCAAGGCGGTGTACAGTCAAGAAAAATATAGACACACAAACATCATAAAATTGCTAATTAAAATTGTTACTTAGTTTGGTCAATTAAATAAAACCCAGAATTAGATAACATTTAAAAAATCATTCGTATGTTTGTATGTTTAGCCCTGCCTGTTGGAAGATCAGGGTCTTGAGGGCACGGCGGAAAGCACGGAGATCAGGGATATTCCGTATCTCCGGGGGCAGTTCATTCCAAAGGGTTGGAGCCCCCACAGAGAAGGCCCTCCCCCTGGGAGTCGCCAGTCGACATAATTTGACTGACGGTACCCTGAGTAGTCCCTTCCTGTGAGAACGAACTGGTCGGTGGGAGGCTATTGGTGGCAAAAGACGGTCTCGTAGGTACCCAGGTCCTAAGCCATGGAGCGCTTTAAAGGTGATAACTAACACCTTGAATCGCACCCGGAAGATCACCGGGAGCCAGTGCAGCTTGCGTAGGAGAGGTGTTACATGGGCGTAACGAGCTGCGCCCATAATCACCCGCGCGGCTACGTTCTGGACCAGTTGGAGCCTCCGGGTGCTTTTCAAGGGGAGCCCCATGTAGAGAGCATTACAGTAGTCCATACGGGAGGTAACTAGGGCATGAGTGACCGTGCACAAGGCGTCCCGATCCAGAAAGGGACGCAACTGGCGGATCAGGCGAACCTGATAAAAGGCACCTCTGGCCACGGCCGTCAAATGATCTAAAAATAACTGTGAATCCAGGAGGACACCCAAGTTGCGGGCCCTCTCTGTGGGGAGCAAGATCTCATCCCCTATTGTCAGTGATGGTACCAGCTGACTATACCGGGACGCCGGAAGCCACAGCCACTCGGTCTTGGAGGGGTTGAGTCTGAGCTTGTTTCTCCCCATCCAGATCCGCACAGCCTCCAGGCAATGGGACATCATAGCAAGGGCATCATTGGGGTGGGCTGGGGTGGAGATGTATAGCTGTGTGTCATCAGCATACTGATGAACACTCACCCCAAAACCACGGATGATCTCACCTAGCGGTTTTACATAAATGTTGAACAGAAGGGGTGAGAGGACTGACCCTTGCGGCACCCCACAAATAAGGTGCCTCGAGGTCGACCTCTGCCCCCCTGCCAATACAAACTGCGAACGGTCAGAGAGGAAGGAGGAGAACCACCGAAGCACGGTGCCCCCTATTCCTAACCCCTCCAGCCGGTGCAGTAAGATACCATGGTCGATGGTATCAAAAGCCGCTGAGAGATCTAATAGGACCAGGATAGAGGAGCAACCTCTGTCCCGAGCCCTCCAGAGATCATCCACCAATGCGACCAATGCCGTTTCTGTGCTGTATCGTGACCTGAAGCCCGACTGGAACGGATCCAGATAGACAACTTCATCCAGGTATCGGGGTAGTTGTCGCGCCACCACACTCTCAACAACCTTCGCAACAAAGCGAAGATTGGAGACTGGACGATAATTTGATAATATAGCCGGGTCCAGGGAAGGCTTCTTGAGGAGGGGCTTCACAACCGCCTCTTTCAAGGCGGCGGGAAAGACACCCTCACTCAGAGAAGCATTTATAATCCCCTGGAGCCAGCCTCGTGTAACCTCCCAGGAGGCCAGTACCAACCAGGAGGGACACGGGTCCAATAAACATGTGGCAGCGTTAAGCTTGCCCAGAATCCTGTCCACGTCCTCAGGAGCCACAGAGTCAAACTCTTCCCAGATAACGCTCTCAAGACCTGCCCCCGTCTCCTCCCCTGGATCTACCCAATCGGAGTCCAGGCCTTCCCGAATCTGAGCGACTTTATCATGCAGGAATTGTACAAAATCCTCAGCTCGACCCTTTAAGGGATCTTCCCGTACCCCCACCTGAAGTAGGGAGCGGGTCACCCTAAACAGCGCAGCTGGGCGGTTCTCTGCAGATGCAATAAGAGCGGAGAAGTAGCTAGACTTCGCCGCTCTTATCGCCACTATTGATACCATTATTTAAACTGCTTAAGTTATCTATAGGTCTTTGCTCCGTAATCCCCTTTGACAAAGGAATTTATGTAACACATTGTGTTTTTACCCAGTAAAAATATGCCTACTGGCACTTGAGACATTTTCTCTCATCAATCTGTACATGAATGTAATTTGAATCTGTTCAATTATTGTTCTTCTTAACTGCTCAGTCAAGTGTAAAATGTGGCTCATTGCTGAGACACATTTTAACATACAGAAATTAATGTTGAAATTGCATGTTTCCCCCTTTTTGCAGTCTTTCTGAGCTCACTAATTCTAGTGTAGTGTCTCACAATGTGCAAAAGAAATAATTTTGAGTTACTCTTCATTTACAAACAAATATCTTAAATCATAATTTATAGTACATTATTCTGCCTCCCTGCTGGGCTTTAGTACCCTATTTTAACATAAGTTTTGCTGAAAGCTGAACCTTGGGCCAGTCATTCTCTCTCAAGCCTATGAAGCAGGCAATGGCAAGCCACTTCAGAAATCTTACCAAGAAAACTACAAGGACATATCCAGGCAGTTGCCAAAAATAAACACCATCTCAAAGGCATAAATAAATAAATAGGTACTTTATGCACCTTGCCTTTATACCTAAAACAGTTTATTATCAACTTTGCTGCTTTCTTCCTGCAAGTTGAGATTTGTATAAAATCCATCATGGACAAATAAAAGAGGGTCCATAGACTATTTCACATTCATATTGTTCCTTAGGGCAGAATGCTGAAAATATTTCAAGTTTTGATCAATTGGAATACAATCCATTAAAAATGAATGTGGTTGTTTGTTCCAAGCTCATAATACAATAGGTTTTTTATTTATTATAACCGGTATTTATTTATTATACTCAGGGTAGAATATAGGTGGAGAATCATCACTGCAGATAAGCGCAGTCCAGAAAACAATTTTGGACCCCACAATAAATTAAAAACTCAGCCAGTATAAAGCCCAAAAGTCATAATAAAAACAAAGGAGGCATTTTTAAAACATCCCCACTCTTTTTTAATTGCTGCTACTGCTTCCATCTCTCCAGTAACAGGATGAAAGAAATCCATGTGGAGTGGCATGATTCTCTTTCTTCCCATCCTGTAGACATCTTAGAACAGGGGTGTCAAACTCGCGGGCCAGATGCATCATACTGGCCACGCCTACCCCTGGTTTAACGAAGGGGGGGAAAGTTGAGATATGTCACGTGACAAGTTTGACACCCTTGTCTTAGAACCTCAAGATATACAGGATTCCAACCTCTGCCAATGTACAAACAGAATATTCCAGATCTACCCATGTATTACTCTACAGCAGTGTTTTCCAGCTTTGAAAACTTTCAGGGCATGGACTTCACAATCACCATGCTGACTTGGGATTTTTAGGTAAGGAAGTTTGCATATCAAGTTGCCAAGATTCAGAAATACTGTTCTAGAGTAACAGGGCTGAAAAGATTCCATAAGAATTGGGAGATGGAATCTCAATCTTCATTTTTCTCCAATATAGAGTTTTGTCTTTGGTGAAGAAATTTTCAAACAGTTTTACAGTCCTAAAGAACCCACAGCATTGCAGCTTTAGCATATTTGAGATGGAGTAGTGACCTGGTGAATATAGATTCTGTTTCTCTGTATCGTCTTAGAGAGAAAGGAGAAGCTAGCAACTACTTTCAATATTATGCAGACTGTTGCATTGTTCCCAGAAAAAACTTATTTGTTATTGGTACAGTATTTCTATGCAGCTCGGCTCTTATATTATTATTATTTAGTTTTTATCCCGCCTTTATTACTTTTACAAGTAACTCAAGGCAGTGAACAAAACTCTTTTTATTACTTAATGTCAGAAAGCTGTATAGAAATGCATGACCACATTCTAGCCTCTGTACAAATATTATTTCCAATTATATATAAAGTACGTTTTATTCTGGAAATGAAATGTTACAAATAGTAATATTTTTCTTTCATTATATTCTAGTCATCTTCTCTGTATACCACTTTTGATGAAGTAAGTTCCTTATAAGATTCTTTGAACTATTTGATAAAGTGCTAGTCAATTATTCTTTTAAACTTGGCATGCTAAAATTAGCTAAAATTACAGTATGGAATGTTCAGTGAAGACTTTTTAAATATATTCCTGCGATTATTAAGCTTTATATTACTACAATAGTCTGTGTTTCTTATGAGAGGAAAGGTAGAAAGCATTCCATAAATTGAGAGAAAAATCATACAACAATTACAATAATGTGTCCCTTCTTTGATAGGCCCAGATTAGTTCCTAATCAGGGGTGGGTTCTACTTACCTTTACTACCGGTTTGCAATGGGGCTGCGCGCGTTCGCTTTGCTCGTGCGCAAGCGCAGAAGCATTTTAATGACGTTGGGGTCAGTGGGCGGAGCCTCCCGCCAGTTCTACTACCGGTTCTATAGAACCGGTGCGAACCAGGGGCAATCCACCACTGTTCCTAATCAATAATATTCAGTAGAGTTAGAATAATCAGGTTTAATATTCAATTAAAGATTGGATACTGAACATTTATGGTGTAGAATGCAGTATGTTACTCCTTGCTCATCTTAACTTGGAAGGAAATGCAGTGCTTGCTGGAGAAGTATATTTTTGTAGTCCCATATAAAGGCTGTACTAGATTACTATTTTCTTTAGAGTCTATTAATTTGACCAATTTCAATATATTTGTATATATTTATTAAATTTATGTGCTGCCCATCCCACATTATCTGCAAATCTGTTCAACCTCTTCAGTGTAATCTAGGTTCTTATTTAGCCAACATGCTCCAACCTACATTCCACCAACAAGGAGATGCATGCCATGTATTGTTCCATATGTTGGAATATGCCTCTTGAAACGTTATAAACCATATTGTTCTAAGCAGAAGCCAACTATAAAGTGAAATATCAACATATACATTGTCCCTTGACCATTTTGTTAGGATGAGACTTGGATGTATGATTTTGCATTGTCAAGTCCTAGAAGAGTCTAATGTTTGCAAGAAAGATATGGCAAAAATACGAGCAAATGTTGCAATGGCAAGAACATTGTCAATTCTGCCTGATTTTCCTTAAATAAGTTCCCAGAGTTCCATTACAAGCCTCTGCTCTTATTAAATCAAAACCTGCTTCATTAATTTTTAAATATATTTCACATCCCTTATTTTTCCTATGTAGATATTAGCAAAACAGTTGAATAATGAAGAAATAAATCAGCTCCCCATAGTCCTTGGTGAATCAGCAATGGTAACGTAATTAAGTTTTGGGGTTTTCTTGTTTCAGTTGGGAATGCTGAATGCTTCTAGGTTCACAGATTCATGCTCTATACATGTTTCTGACAATAAGCCTAGTTGGCTTTATAGATCTAAAAAGGCATTTTTATAATTTCAGTGTATAATGTAGTGTTATCTTTGGTCAGTCTTACTTGGAAGACGGGAAGCTACATACCGTATTTTTCGGAGTATAATTCGCACCTTTTCCCCCCCAAAAGAGACTAAAAATTTGGGTGCGTCTTATACTTCAAATGTAGCTTTTTCGAAGCTTTTTTTCAGCCCTAACAAGGTGCTAGCGAGTAAAGTGATATTCCCAGCTTTGTCTGCTTCTTCTCGTGCTTTAATGAGGCGCTAGCCGAGTGAAGTGATCTCCCCGTGCTTTGCCTGCTTTTCTCATTGCTGCTTCCTCTCAGCTGTGCCTTAGAAGCTGTTTTTTATCCCCAAGCAGGGGATAAAAAAACAGCAAACTAATGTGCTGAAGCTGACCAGACTAAGGACGCTAGCCAGATGAATACCTGGTATCTGATAGGCAGATTTTTTTTTTCCTATTTTCCTCCCCAAAAACTAAGCTGCGTCTTATACTCCGGTGCGTCTTATACTCCGAAAAATACAGTAGATTTCTGTATTCATATGCAGCATTCAGGCTTTTAAGATTTTGGGAAAAAAATACATATTACCTTATTAGGCTACCATTTTTTTAAAAAGTCCAGTAATGGACATGTGAGAATGCTACACATATACAGAATTTGGCGTTCAGTTTTCATTATCAAAGAAGAAAAATGATTTAAATAGTTTCTTTCCAGTTATTGCAAAAAATGGCAAATAAGGGTTGCTTTCTTGGGTTGGGTTTTGACTTCTCCCAAAGTTTTCTTTGATGCATGATTGTAAACAACCAGAATATTTGCAGTAGATCAAGTGATGATAAGAAAAAAATAATAATCTTATTGGCACATTTTGGCAGGAATTTCTTTGGGATTTTTTGAACCATCAAGAAGGCCCACGTGTTAGAGACCATCTGAGCCATGGAGAAATCAACTTAAATGGCTTCCCAAGAGAAATAGCAAATTCCATGCTTTCGTTTTCTATTACACTCCTCTGCAGATTTTCATGGGATGGCTTGTCTTTCATTAAGGTAAGGAACATGCCAAATTTTAAAATACAGGTAGTCCTCGTCTTACAACAGTTCATTTAGTGACTGTTCGAAATTACAACGACACTGAAAACAGTGACTTATGACCATTTTTTACACTTACGACAATTGCAGCATCCCCATGGTCCCGTGATTTACATTGGGATTCACTTAACATGTGGCAAGAAAAGTCGACAAAACTCACTTAATTAATTTCTCACTGACCAACATAAATTTTGGGCCCAATTGTGGTCATAAATTGAGGACTACTTGTACATTAAAATTATGCTGTTGTAGCTTTCAAATCCAAATGTTTTTGTATTTAGAGTATATTGTCTCCCTGTTCCATATGGCATAGCATTGTAAATCTCTCTTTATGGAGACAGAGCAACCAAGTGGCCTACCTGTTAGTCCTACTTTTTAGATGGCTGCATGTTTGTCACATTCCCTGAAAAGTTATTTCTGAAGGGGAAATTTCTCTCCTGAATATCATTTCATGTAAAATAGAGGAATAAAGCCAGAAGGAAATTCAGTTATTTGTCTTTGTAAATGGATTTTTAAAGAGGGAGGCAACGAGACTACCTTTGTTCCCCTTCCTAGTTTTCTATTATCCTTATTAGCTTATTTATTTATTTTTTTAGAATTCAGAGTTGTTCTCAGATCAGGTATGCATATGTATGTAATATTTAATATTCATCACACTATTCTCTTTCAAGGTTAGCAGTGTTATGCAAAGTGAGAAAAGGAGTATGACATAATAAGCCAAAAAACTAAGGAATAATTCTTATATTAGGCATAAGAAAAAGAAAAAGAAAGATTTTATATGCATATACCACTCTGCTGTTACATTTGAGAATGAGCAATGACATGTAAAGTTCAGAGAAAGAGTAGAAAGTAATACTCAAAAGAAATTTAAGGCAAAAAATAAAAAAAGTAAACATAGCTAGTTTAAATCAACACTATTCACTATATAAACACCTTTCTATCCTTGCAAATCATTACAGCTTCCATCACATTCATTCACTAGGTCATAATACATTGTCTTTTATTTTTTAAAATTCTCATCTCTATCTTTTCAAGGATTGTTTCAGCAAACAATTGCACAACTGGGGTGGGTGGGGGTATTTGGGTACTTTTATTTTGTAATAAACCGTTAAATCATTTCAGTGCATTGCCCTTAATTTCAGCAGAAATTTATTTGCGAAAATGCTTGAAATAAGATTGAAATCTCTTTGTATTTTATCATTTACTTTAACATGTCTTTAAACCAGGAACACGAATCCTTAAAACCATTAATGACCTGTGCAAATAATTACTATACCAAGTTTCATCCAATAACTCAGCTTAAGAAACAGGTATGTAGTAGTCATTTTTCCCATTGTTGCTGTTGTATATTGATTTTATACCAGAAGCTTTAAATTGAATAAAATAATAAAATTTATAAATTGAATTAAATTTAATATTCAATTAAAATAAATTGAATATTATTAAATTGAATAGCCATATTAATTAATATTGGCTTCAAATCATGTCGATGACAGTGTGAGATTTGCAAATATAAAAAAGCCCAGCATGAATGGTCCTTAGTGCTCTCTGACCTTGGTTGTTTTCTTGCAGACGTTTCATTATCCAAACTAGGTTAACATCATCAGTACTACTCCAGCATGTTAAGTGAACGTTTGACAGCACCTGAGGTTTTATTGAAAATTATAGACAGACACAGAAATTAATCAGGTGTAGATTTATATTGTTTGTGAGTTTCATTTCAGAAGATGTGTTAAAAAATTATTAGCAAAGCTGTGCAGTGGCATGGATCCTGAACATTCAAGAGGAAATATTTTGATTGCAGAGATGAAAGATAGGAAACGATAGGGAAAACCTTCCCACATGTCCTATTAAACGCAACAAAACCCAGCACTGAAAAATGCTGTGGTGGTTATTGATCTGCACTCAGAGAACACTCTTAGTGAGAGAAGACAGAAGTTAGAACAAGCAATTACAGTAGCTTCTAGTTTATTCTAAATATGGCTTTGGTTACATCTTTGCTGATTTTGAGGCCCTGCAACACAACATGTTTGAGACCACGGGAGTATCTTGAATCATTTGGTTTAATGAAAGTAGAATAGTTAGATTTTTCTATAATTTTTGTTTTTCTTTCTAGATACTGAACTGCATAAAAAGTATCACCACTTGGCCAGATTTTCCTATGGGGTCTGAAGAGCAAGAAATTTCAGGGTAATACCTTTTTCCTTCTTCCCTTCTTGGAGTCATAATCACGGGATTGAAAGAAATAGATGATGATTTTTTTTTTTTTTTGATAATTGCATTAATGATCATCACTAGTCACAATGGACTCAACATCCTCAAAACTGGTCTTTATGGCCTGTAAAACACTTCCATCCATTGTAAAATGGTGCCTGTCGGTCATCCTCGTCCCCACCTCCCCATGATATGACCACATTTAGGGCTTTGGCAACCTGTTGAAATTTATGACTGGTTGCAAAGTGCCCTTCACTCATGTAATCACCATTTGCAATCTTCTCAGCCTTCTTCCCCAGAAAATCAATGGGAAAGCCAGCAGGGAAGGTTGCAGGTAGAGCATTGGATTTGAGATCCATTCCCCTAGCATACTGACCTCTGTATCAGTATTTCCGCCCCTCAAGAAAGGACAAATTAGTGTTCTGAGCCTTTCAGAACAATGGCATTTGCTAGCATTTTTGTCAGATGTAGGTGTTAATATCAATGCTATAAGCGTCTGCCACTAGATAACTCCAATTTGGACTACAGTCATTCTCTAGAAACTGAGTTGAAAGCTATTTTAAAATCAATAAATATCACCCTGGGAGAAATACACATGTTTCAGTTAGATGCCAAGCACAATGCACATACACAGAAGGAGAGAGGACTAAAGGACTAAATCTCTTTTATTTTGTAAGGGATACATACCAATGGTCAGACAAATTCTCTGGAAATAACATTTTTAAGGGAACAATTCTTCTCTTTATTTATTTATTTTACTTGATTTTTATACCGCCCTTCTCCAGCAGGACTCAGGGCGGTGAACAGCCGAGATAAAACAGAGCATACAAAATTTAAAAAACAGCTTAAAAGGTAATTAAATAATTTCAGCCCACAATTTAAAACAACCCAGTTAAAACCAATTTCAAATTAAAACCGAACGGATGGGATCAAGCCAGCCCGGCTAGATGGAATAAATGGGTTTTCAGGGCCCGACGAAAAGTCCGGAGGTCTGGTATCGTGCGTATCTCTGCGGGTAGGTCGTTCCAGAGGGTGGGTGCCGCCACAGAGAAGGCTCTCCCCCTGGGGGTCGCCAGCCGACATTGTCTGGCGGACGGCACCCTGTGCGAGCGTACTGGCCGGTGGGAGGCTATTAGCGGCAGAAGGCAGTCTCGTAGATACCCCGGCCCTAAGCCATGGAGCGCTTTAAAGGTGGTCACCAACACCTTGAAGCGCACCCGGAAGACCACTGGGAGCCAGTGCAGCTCGCGCAAGAGAGGTGTCATATCGGAGCGCCCCATTGCTCCCATAATCCCCCGCGCGGCCGCATTCTGGACCAGCTGGAGCCTCCGGGTGCACCCCAAGGGGAGTCCCATGTAGAGAGCATTGCAGTAGTCCAGGCGGGAAGTGACGAGTGCCTGAGTGACCGTGCGTAGGGAGTCCCGATCCAGAAAGGGACGCAACTGGCATATCAGGCGGACCTGATAAAAAGCCCCCCTGGCCACGGCCGTCATATGCTCTTCTAAAGACAGCCGTGCATCCAGGAGGACGCCTAAGTTGCGAGCCCTCTCCGTGGGGGCCAGTGATTCGCCCCCCAATAACCAGCGATGGCACCAGCTGGCTATATCGGGTCGCCGGAAGCCACAGCCACTCGGTCTTGGAAGGGTTGAATCGGAGCCTGTTTCTCCCCATCCAGGACCACACGGCCTCCAGGCACCGGGACATCACTTCAAGGGCATCGTTGGGGTGGCCTGGGGTGGAGATGTACAGCTGGGTGTCATCAGCGTACTGATGGAACTCCACCCCAAAGCCACGGATGATCTCACCTAGTGGCTTTACATAAATGTTGAACAGAAGGGGCAAGAGGACCGACCCTTGCGGCACCCCACAAACAAGGCATCTCGGGATCGACCGCTGTCCCCCTGTCAACACAGATTGCGACCGGTCAGAGAGGTAGGAGGAGAACCACCGCAAAACGGTGCCCCCCACCCCCACCCCCTCCAATCGGCGCAACATGATACTGTGGTCAATGGTATCAAAAGCCGCTGAGAGATCTAATAGGACCAGGATAGAGGAGCAACCCCCAACCCGAGCCTCCAGAGATCATCCACCAACGTGACCAATGCCGTTTCCGTGCTGTGCCCAGGCCTGAAGCCGGACTGGAGTGGATCTAGATAGACAGCTTCATCCAGGTACTGTGGCAGCTGCCGCGCCACCACACTCTCAACAACCTTCGCAATAAAACGAAGGTTGGACACTGGACGATAGTTAGCCAAAACAGCCGGATCCAGAGAGGGCTTCTTGAGGAGGGGCCTCACCACCGCTTCTTTCAAAGTGGCCGGCAGGACACCCTCACTCAAAGAAGCGTTAATAATCCTCTGGAGCCAGCCTCGTGTAACCTCCCGGGAAGCCAGCACCAACCAGGAGGGACACGGGTCCAATAAAAATGTGGTCGCGTTCAGCTGTCCCAGAATCCTGTCCACGTCCTCGGGAGCCACAGGATCAAATTCCTCCCAGATAACACTCTCAAGACTTGCCTCAATCATCCCGTCCAGATTTAACCAGTCAGAGGCCAGACCTTCCCGAATCTGAGCAATTTTATCATACAGATACTGCACAAAATCCTCAGCTCGACCCTGCAAGGGGTCATCCTATGCTCCCAGATGGAGGAGGGAGCGGGTCACCCTAAACAGGGCAGCTGGGCGATTATCTGATGACGCAATAAGAGCGGAAAAATAGCTAGATTTTGCCGCTTTTATCGCCACTAGGTAGGTCTTAATATGAGACCTCACCAGTGTTCTGTCAGATTCGGAACGGCTGGTCCTCCAACCGCTCTCCAGGCGTCTTTTCCGGCACTTCATCTCCCTCAGCTCCTCGGAGAACCAAGGAGCTAGGTGAGTTCGGTGCCTGGTCAGAGGCCGCAAAGGCATGACGCGGTCCAAGGCCCCAGCGGCCGCACTGTCCCAGGCGGGGAGTGACCAGTACTTTATCATGTTGTAGGTGAACAGTCTGAGGTGTGTATAAGGCACTGAAACCCTTGGCTGCATTCCACAGAACATGAAAGAAAATATTATCAAACTGTAGATTTTAATGTGACCAAAGATAAATAAGATTAAATGCAAATTTGGAGAGGAATTATATTAATGAGCTTTCTTTCAATGTAAATCAAAACTTAAATCTAATTTAAATCTAACCTTGTTGCTGGTATCCTTAAGACTTATATTGACTGTTTCCCTATGACTATCATTAAGTGTTGTACCTTATGATTCTTGACGAATGTATCTTTTCTTTTATGTACACCGAGAGCGTATGCACCAAGACAAATTCCTTCTGTGTCCAATCACACTTGGCCAATAAAGAATTCTATTCTATTCTATTCTATTCTATTCTATTCTATTCTATTCTATTCTATTCTATTCTATTCTATTCTATTCTAATTTAGATTTTGTTCAGTTTCATTCAAGTATTTTATGTACCCAGCCAGTTCAAAGGCTCGGTGCAGCCTTCACAGTGTAATATTTCTGCTCAGTTTTCAGTATAAGAAATGGGGATTGTTGGAATGTAAAGTGTTTATTGTAGTAAAATGAATACTTATGTGTATCTTATAGAAAACTAAGTCTTGGGTGCGTTTGTATTGTAACAACTTATTTTTGTTTTTAGGTCAGGAAAAGATACTGCCCCCTGTATTCTTATGATCAGTGATATTTTGTCTCAACTGCAGCCCTATTTGCCTGTGAATGTTACACTATTAGGTGATCCTGTAAACAATCTGCTAACCGAGAAGTAAGTTTTATAAGATATTCTGGGCCTTTTTCAAATATGAGAACATATTTTATTCTATTGATGCTTTATCATCCTTTGGAGATTCATATATGTTAAAAATCATAATATAGCATTCAGATATTTACTGGACCAAATAACATTTTAGTTCTGCATGATAGATGATTCCAACCATTTTGTTTTTAAATCATAATGTCAACTTTCGTATTCTGTTGTGGAAATTGAGTCGGTTCTGGCTTATTCAATAAACCACGGATAAATTAATGTGATATATGAATGCAGCCATCATGTTGTTTAGCATGCATTTTTTTATAAAGTGTGCCTGGAGTTGTCTATGGAGATTCTCATTCATCCAGGTCCCAAAGGTGCTTTTTCAAGAGGCAAGTGGACTTTCTGGTTTTTCTTTGAAGACATTTTGCTTCTCATCAGCTCTGTGCCTGGAGTTGGCTTGACTCTATTACCTGTAATCGAATTAATGCAGTTTGGATTTGAATGACATTAGAAGCTGCATTTAACAAAAATGGAAATAAACTTCCAAATTCCTTATAGTTACACTAGAGACATACGGAAAAATATTTACTTAATATGGAAGTAGTCATAACTTTGTGTACATTAATAGAAAGCATGATATTTCCCATAAGTAATAACTAATTTTAGTGCAACCATTTGTTCTGTTCAGGTTGCTGACTGAACTTTGTAGCAAGCACATTCATACCCTTTTCTCTCCACGAATTATCCTGGAAACAATTGTGGTGCTTCGCCAGATAAGCACCCATTGCCATCATGTGTCACGTCAAGTCATTTCAGTTTGTGAAACCAGATACGAACAGTGGATAAATAAGTCACTGAGGTCGCGCCAACGACTTAACTTTCTACGCATGAGAAGAAGGTGGGAAGTATCTTACTTTTAAGAGAATGAGAATTTTAATAGAAGGTGGTTTTAAAATAAACTATCTAAGAAAGTAATTTCAATATTGTACAGAACCATATATTTATAATACTGATCTGATCCTTCCAAAGTTAATATCATTAGTTGTCATGAAAGGTTCTCATTGAAATGAGTGAGATTTAGCAGTATGTTAATGTAGCTAGAATATCAGCATAGAGCTAGGGAAATTTGGGTTCACTCAGCTGATGCTGACTGGTCTTCAGCTGGTAAACAAATTTCAATCTGATTTTCTTAGGAATAATGCCTTAAATTCTTAGGAGGAAAAATGGGATATAGGTTTAATAAATGGTAAAGTTTGTGATAATTTGGAACAGAATGTAAGTTTAATAAGAGAAGCTAATTAAAATATTATTAAAAAATAAGGGGATATTCCAGTTAATTAGTATTCATTGAACTTCTCCCTCTTTTATACTATATGTTTTCCAGATGCCCTTCCTCACTTTATTATTTTGGGTCCATGTAATATTATTTTAGTGTATGTTTTTAGATGTATATTTAATTACTTGCTTTTTTCCCTTCCAGTATCAAACTTCTGTCCCCAGTTTTGCAACTAGTTTTAATCTTGATTACCATGGAGCTAGCGAACATTCATATGATTTGCAGAAAAAATACTTTTGAATGTCAACAGTACTTAAAGTGAGTATATTCTTTTTTTGCAGAATAGTCTAGAGTTAGATTTTTTTTCATCAATAATCATCTAAACTATAATTCCCAGTAATTTACAATTCTTTGCATTCTTATATCATTATATTTTAAAAGAATTATGTCTCTGAACATCAATCATGGTATTTTTAAAACTACAAAATGGTAAAAATTCAATGCTGTCACAGTTTTTTATGTAGTATTCGAACTTGGCACTTATTATTTAAAACTGCAGTCCTACATATATTTTAATCAGCAGGGGAAGATACAGTGAGAAACTGCAAATTGACTATTTGAAAGGGAGGAGGGCAAGCTGCTAACTGATCACATTTTCCATTTGCAGATTAAGAAAGCAGCGATAGTTCTTTTAGCTAAACGTACTGCCAAGTCAATTATTTTACAAGATATGTCAGCATTTTCCAATCTAGCCAATAGTAAGATAAGGGGACTTTAGCACCCATCATGCTTAGCATTGACATATTGAATGGGGAATTCTGGGAGCTGAAGTCCATATATCACAAAGTTGCCCAGATTGAGAAACATCCAATATTTGTTCCTTTTTAGGATTGGTTGACAGAAAGAAGAGGGAACATTCATTCACTGCAGACTTACGCTAGACAGCAGGGAAGTGGAGCAGAGTGTTAATGCTATGTAGGAATTCATTCCTACCAACCAGATATGGCATCTGTTGTATGTAGGCTACTGAATTAGGGTGCCTGGGACAATGTAAGAATACTGTGATGTAATATTTTGCTTACCTGAAGTGATAGAGTTGATCTAAGACATGATGTTGGTGGAGCATCTTAGGGTTTTTGTCCCACAGGATTTCATTGTCCATGTAAAGTTTGTTCAATTAGGGGTAACTAAGGATTTCACATTCTGTATAGTGATCAAGGTCCTATTATAATTAGTCATCTGGTCTCATGTTTGCATATAGCCTGTGTAGTACAGGTTGCTTATTTTTTTGATCCGTGGTTCCATAGGGTTTTGTCTTACGCCACCATGGACTTCAACACCCACATGTAGCTTCTGTGGGAGGTTTACGATGTCATTACTATGCTAATGATCCCAAGATCTATTGTTATTTATCATACAGCTCCAGGAATCAGTTAACAGCCTTGTCTATTAATAAGAACTTTTTAAAGAAAAATAACAAATCCAGACGAGGAGAGTTGTTAGTAAATAAAAAACTGGATCTAGGGCAGTGGTGAAATCCAATTTTTTTTACTACCGGTTCTGTGGGTGTGGCTTGGTGGGCATGGCAGGGGAAGGATACTGCAAAATCTCCATTCCCACCCCACTCCAGGGAAAGGATACTGCAAAATCCTCATTCCCTCCCCACTCCTGGGGGGAAAGATATTGCAAAACCTCCATTCCCACCCTACTCAGGGGCCAGCCAGAGGTGGTATTTGCTGGTTCTCCAAACTACTCAAAATTTCCGCTACCGGTTCTCCAGAACCTGTCAGAACCTGCGGGATTTCACCTATGATCTAGGGTTAGGAATACAAATTGTCTTGAGTAGATGTACTATGTCTGGAAAATAGAAGAAACAATCTTGGAGCGTTCTTTAGCTTCTCTTGTGGCTGAATCTGTAGGTTGTACCTGTGGTAAGGAACGCATTTGTCAGTTATGCATATTATCCTAGCTACCAATGTTTTTTAGTCGGTCACATCTCTTGAGAACTGCAACATTCATGATGTGAGGCTATTTTGGGAAAATGAAGTTTGCAAGTGATACAAAATGCAGCAGTGGTATAAGCCAAAGTTCCTCAACCTTTCTGGGTTGGCAGCCTGGAGGGGGGAGGGGCAGACGCCTGTATGCGTGTGTGCCCTGGCCAGCCACTCACATGATCCAGTGGCCAACAGGTTACAGCCCAGTAATGGGCTGCAGTCCACAAGTTGGGGACCTCTAGTATAAGCATCATATATATTGAAAGATCTGAACTGATGATGAGTTGCTTTACCAGGCAAGTTTTAAGGTTTTGGTATTGACCTTCAGTGCTCAAACAGTTTAGGATTTATGTAAGGATCAGTTCTTCATTATAAATCTGACAATTAAGTTGTACAGACAATGCTCTTCAGTCTGTCAAACTTGGGTTTATCTGGCAAAGGAGAAGCATTCTCTTGAATGGCTCCCAAGGTGTGGCGTAGCATTGGACTTCTCTTTTTCATAGTTTATAAAATCTACTTGGATGTATTTCTTCTGCAATGTATTTAACAATTAATGAACAGTAATTTAATTTGTTTTTTAACTTTGTGTTTTAATTTTGTAAGTAGTACTCATTTCAATAGAAAGCTGGTTTATATATCAAATACATAATGAATCAGGGTGACTTCTGATTTAATATCTAAAATAATTGCATTGGGTATGTCCATTACTCTATCAGCAAAAGCAAAAGTGAGTTAAAAGCTTGCAAAAGATTTATTATGATATAAAGGTTTTATAATGGTAGGGCATTCTCAAATGATTTACAAATGACTTAGTTTTAGAAATAATTTTAATCAAATGTATTGACATAATTTTATTTTGTTTTTCCTCCTAGGTTTCTCAAACTGATTTTGCAGTATATTGAGAACTTGGTGACTTACACAAGTCCAGAAAAAAATAAGTGGGATGAAACCATAGTGCTTACACACAAATCATTGATAAAAATCAGAACCTTTCTAGGAAGGGTATTGATGCTTGTACAGTTGGCTGAAACAAAGAATGTAGTTAGTCCTCATCAGAATTCTGTAGGCTTAACCTAAACAGGTAGTTATCCTTTCTCCCCAATTTATACAGATCAACATTTGCAAAAACTATGTGCATATGTCCTTCAAAGCAATGATGTGTGGATGTGAGTATGAAAGAGATTTTCTGAGCAAAAAAAATAAAATTTATGGCAAAGCCATTGTTATCTGTTGTGGATGGGTATATTGGTTGATGGATGGATTGATGGATAAATGAATAGGTTTGATCACATTAATAAGATCGATATTATAGCTGCTATTAAATATAATTTTATTTTTTAGTAAAGTATATTAAATATGGTACTATAGAAATGTTTTAGTAAAATATACTGATTTGTAAATTATTTTTTAAAGTTTTCTCCGATTAAGGTGAATAAACTGGGAGACATGAGTTATAATTATAGATTGAAAATATTATTGTCTATTTCTCAAAACTCATTCTGAATTCAAATTAATATTTAATTATCATTATATTATATAATTGTCATTTATATAATATATAAATTATATTTTGACTAGTCAGAATCGTACTATGCATGTGCATAGAATATAGTACACCTCACAATTCTTTTACACCAGCCTTTGGAATTCCTTTCCTGACTGGTGCCTCTTGCACAGCCTTCTTTTATGACTGCATTGCTTAGTGATGGAAATTCTGGTCTCAATGTCCTTGTAAGTTGAGGACTAGCTGTACTGCATTAAAAACAAAAAAGCCTACAGTAGCATGTCAGTTAACTTCTTACTGGGAAACTAAACACAAGGTGGCAGTGTAGGACAACATGTACTCCCTTTTTACAACCTGATGGACAACATAAAGGAAAATAAAAGCACAAAAGTAAAAAGTTAGAAACCATATTACCTCCATTGGACTCAGGGAAAAATGTAGCTTTCTAAATAAGGGAATATTAAAAGTGCAGGACTAAACATTCTCCTATCAAATGCATTCTTCCTAGTCTTAAATATGCTGGGAATCCATCATTCAAATAATACAGACTCTTTCTCTGCGAAAAACCAAATCATTCCCATTAATCGTTCCATCAACCCTGAAAACTGGTTGCAGCAAATTTTTTTCCCTCTTCATTTTTTCTCCCTGGTTTAGAAAATATACCTGAGCCCACAAATTCTTCAATTGTTTCAAAATCCAAGGATGATTCAGGTGTAGCTGTTCCTTGTGTTGTCATTTTTTCCTACTTGAGTGAGCAAGAGATACATGTTGATGGAATCGATGAGTTTGGAGGGTTGATCTCTTAAAGGCCAAATCTCAAAGAGCAAGTTTAATGAAATCATATTTATCATAGTTCATGTCCATGTGCATTTAGAGAAATTGAGTCCTTACAGCATGACTTTGATTCGTGTTCTAAGTTATTCTACTCTAGTAAAGTTTTTTAGGAGACTGAAACCATAGAGTCACTTATTTAATCATAAAGACTTGTTCCTTAGCAATAATAATGCTGTTATATTTTATTAAAGGTTGTATGGCTTTTTTAAGAGCAAGTGTTTTCATTCTAATCTTATTTATTAATCAGGTAACTTTTTAATAGTGGGAATGCTGTGGATATAATATATCTTGACTTCAACAAAGCTTTTGACATGATGCTTTGATTAGCAAGTTAAGTGTAGGCTGGATAGGGGGCATAGTTGGTTTGATTGACATACTCTAAGAACATTGATGGCGCTACATCCAATTGGAGGGAGAAACAGAGACTACCATAAGGTTCTCACTTTGGGAAACATAATCTATGAAATATGTTTTCATTTGGATTTTTGTACTGTATAGAAAGTTAGACTCAGCTTACGTGGCATTACATTATTCTTTCATCTAATTATTGTGGAACTATATCTACTTTATATAAGTGTACTCACCAGGATATTATAATGTATAATGTAGATTTCTCACCTAATATAAAATGGAAACGAACTAATCAAAGATGAACTAATCAAATACTTACAGTAGTAGTCATGAAGTTATGACAACTCATTCTGTGACCATACAAAGTTATGATGGTACTTAAGTACCATAAGTGGTACTTGTGACTAATCAAAGTTCTTTGATTAGTTCTTTGATGAACAAAGATGTTCATTGCAACATCTCCATAGTCACATGATTGCAATTCAGATGCTTGGAAACTGTCTCACAGCATAGTGATGGCCATCTGCAACCTTCCCTGCCAGTTTCCCACAGGCAAAATCCATAGGGAAGCTGCAGGAAAAATTGCAGGTCACTCCCATCACTCTCTCCCGAGGAGCTGTGCTTTAGGATATGATATCTCAGGACTTGCATACTTCATAGCACTCGCCCACATTCTGTAGCATGTGTGCACTTGCAGCACCCCCTTGCTTGCCCACACTGTAGATGCATCCTCTTGTAGCACTCTCCTGGCCCCTATGCTTCTTGCCTGAGGCTCCCATTTCATCCTGCTTAATGACCTGCATGGTCCTGGGGTTAATACAGCTGCCACGATTGCCATCATTAAGCAATATGGTTATGTGACATTGCACTTCATAACTGCATCACTTAGCAATGAAAGTTCAGTTCCTGGTTGCTGTTGTAACTCAAAGACTATCTGTATGAGATTGAAAGATGGTATCGGGTTGGGTTTTTTTTTTTTTTTATCAGACCTGATCACTACAGCTATGACCCATCAAATAGTTATTTAACTGGAACCAGTATTATTAGAATACTTCTATTTTAACCCTTTTCTCCTTTGCATGGGGAGGATTTAAAATAAGACGTCACATTTTTAAATGTATGGGTGTTCTTGAGAGGACTGCAAGTAAATGAAGGAGAATATTTGATATCCTTGGAAAAGCTGGATCATGCTATAGCATTGGGTAATGTTAGGTGTGCCCACAAGAAATGGCATGAAGGTGCTACAGAACAAGTGAAGAAATACTTGTGGGTCTTTTTAAAAAATAAATCTCATGATAAACATAGCTCTGGGGAGGCACCAAAGGAACAATTACAGATACAATAGCCATTAAATTGATGACATGTCTAGCATCCCTAGAGTTTTATGCTGTAAAAATAGGGTATCTTTCGAGTGATGAATAATGGCTTGTGGGGTGAAGAATAAATATTGCACACTATGCAGATGTGGCTCTGAATTGCCTTTCTAGACCAGTGGTGGGTTGCTCCCGGTTCTTTCCGGTTCTATAGAATTGGTAGTAAAACCGGAAGGAGGCTCCGCCCACCTGGCACGACATCATTGGTCATCTGTGCATGCGCAGAAGAGTGCGCGAGCGTGCACGCGCGATCCCGCTGCGAACCGGTAGTAAAGGTAAGCAGAACCCACCCTTGTTCTAGACCTAGGATTTCATGAAGAGCCTTCTGCATTTGAGGTTAATTTCCATTCAATCTAATAGTCATTTCTGGATAAGAGGATTCCTAGTTTAGGAGAATTCAAAAACAGATCTTTGTATTTTTATCTGGTTATTTGGTTCATTTGGCCTCCATTTTTCTAGCTTCTTTCTTGGGTGAATGGGAGATTGATCCCAAAATAACTGTTTAAAAGTCTGTTTCTCAAACAGAATTCATTCTCATCCTGCTTTCCAAGAGCTTTTTCATATTTGTGAGATATATAAGTGAGATAGCTGGATAATAGATGATTACAGTAAAAAAAAACAATATAATAAACTATAAGTTTTGTACTATCTATCTATATATATAGAGAGAGAGAGAGAGAGAGCTGAGACAGATCTAACCTTACACTGAATGCTACAGGCAATATCTGACTATTATTTCCTTCAATGCACTTAACAAAGTATCTGTTAACAATTGGGTGCCTGTATCTAGGAAATATGCATTGCAGAGTGCATTCTGGAACCCTTTCCCAATCTGGATTCTCTCCTAGAATTTTATCTCTTCAGTTATCATTTTTATCATGCTGGTAGAATCTGATGTGAATTGATGTTCAAAAATCTGGGTAATGTATCATCTCAATATATATTATACAGCAGAACTAAAATGGATATATTTAAAAAAAAGCTGTAGTGAGATTCACACTCCATCATTCTGTTGTTTCAATACTCATTTTCTTCCTTCTCCCATAAATACGTTGCTAACTGTTATATACGGTCATCAGAGAGATTTATTTATTTCCCTATTTAATCTTTATGTGGAAGGATTTTCTTCTTTGTATCCCATCTCTAATAGCATGTGCCCTGTCCTATGCTGACATGATGCCATATATCCCAATTCCTTCACTGGAATGTTTAAACAAGGAGCAACAATATACTTTCTAATGCCATGGCTTCAGTGTTACAAAGGCCAGCAGGTGTGCTTGCTTGGAAAGATAACCTGTTTCCACATCTGCTGATAAGACTAAACAATCTAATTCTTGTGATTTAGTTAATATTTCCCTCTTCAGCCTGCTGTGTACACAGAAGCGTACTGGATAAACTATCTACAACAGTAGGACACTGTGCATGGTGCTGTTTTGTATGATATTATCATCACCTGGTGCCTTTAATTAAACATCTCTTTAATCATTGCAAAAAAATTGAAAGAGGTTTTGGCTCCCATTTCTTTCAGTCATATCTTTAAGACAAGCAATAACCAAGTCATAAAGTCATATAAGGAAAAGTAACTAGGGTGGCCAACAAAACACATACTCTCGTGCGCTTCTATTTTTAAAATCCATTGAAAGGATGGGAAATAACGTGCAGCTTTTGAATGGATCAAACATACACATCTGGCAAGAGCAAAAACATGTAGGATCACAAGAGTTCCAGAGAAGACTGAAAACATTCATTTGAGGTATTTCTGGTCATATCAAGGACTACTGAATTGAAGAAAAAGCACCCCAAAAATCCTAACAAAAGTTCTAGATACAAACTGTCTTTCTTCTTTCATATATCTCATCTCAACCTTTATACCTCTGCAACCAACATTAGTGGCTTCTCATTTTGGACCATCTCTTTACTGACTCCTTAGTCACTTTTATGGCAACACACAATTCCTTATTTTACCTTGGTTTACTCTTAAGTTTCGAGCATTGTTTTTCTTGTGATCTGTTTTTCCAAAGCCACCTATTAATGTCAAATGAATGGAGGAATTGATTTATATTTTTAAAAAATGCTCCCATTTTTCTGTTCAAAAAGCAACCTAAAAGGCTAGCACCTAGAAAAAAGATGTTGAGACTTTGGAAAAGGTTCAGAGAAGAGCAACTAAAATGATCAAAAGCCTGAAGACTTAAAACCTATAAACAACAGTTGCAGGATTTGGGTTTAGCTAATCTAGAAAACAGGAGGATTAGGGGTAGCAGTATTCCAATGTTTGAGAGGCTGCCACAAAGAAGAGGGGGTCAAATTATTCTCCAAAGCACCAGAGGGCAGGACAAGAAACTGGTTGGAAACTAATCAAAGAAAGAAGCTGGAATTAAGGAGAAACTTCCTAACA